AAATGTTTGTAATCAACATAAGTTACGGGCTGCTGTTTTTGTGCGTACCAACAACAACAATAACAACAACAGTAGCAGCAGCAACAACGACAACAACAACAGCAACAACAATAACAACAGTAGTAGCAGAAGCAACAACGACGACAACAACAACAGGTACATGTCACTGTGACAACTTTGTACCCCCTGAATCAGGCTTGGCCATACCGGGTGCCAGACCACGAGTCAGGTCTGCACAGGAGGAGATGCAAGCCAAGCTGGAAGACAGAAGACGCAAAATCGAAGGACTACCCCCTGTCCTTTCATGCGCAGAGGACGAGGCACCTGCAGAAGTCAACGAAGTACAGGAAGGGCGAGGTGACGCACGAGGGCCCGCAGGGGAGCAAAAAGCAGATGCTCCAGCACCAGCTGTTGCAGGAGTTTGCGGGAAGTCTGCGCTGCTGTACTTATGATTCCAGCTGACTTGTGTTGTTTTGTGCTGTGTGTTGGGAGGACTTCTCACTGCCATTGAGGGCTTTCGCACCTGCCTGTGCCCTCGCTGCCTGCACTCAATGCCGTTGAGACGACACCGGCCAAGGGCCGCCATCTATGAGGGAGGTGTGAGCTGCGACCGATGCAGAAGAGAGCTCTTGGGCCAGGCACAATGACAGCCGCAAATGCCAAGCCTTCCTCAGATATCTTTCGGCCGCACCACGAACAAACCGATGCTGTTTGTCTTTTGAAGAAACTTCCCTGCCAGGTGGAAGCACAGGAGCTCGAACTCGAGCCTCGGGATGCGTTCTGCCACTGCAGCCGCTGCTGGTTCGATCTATGCAGAAGCTGTGCACACAAGGACCCGAGTTTTGTTGGGGTGTCTTTTACCAGTGTGGCTCTGCACTGCCGCTTCGATACCTTGGAGGAGATGCAGGAGGTCTGGTGGGGGGAAGATTGACTGAGCTGGCGAAAGAGCTTCTCATGACACCCTATAATGGCCGAGAAAGTGCAAGCGTTTCACCAACCAACCGTCAGTTGCAGAAGGCGACGGGTCCCCAGAGAGAGAAACCACACGGCTTAATCTTGATGCAGCAGTAGAGAAGATCCAGGCAGAGACTTCTGGTCTGCGAGACTGCTTGTTCAACTGTTGAGGAGTTTCGGCGAAGAAGATTCAAGCTTCTGAGAATTACTACGTGTCACCACGTCCGTCCGAGTCCGAGGCTTTCTGCCATCCGACCTGATGACGCGTGGATCCCACCAGCATATGAAGCTTGTCGTGACAAGCATTTGTCAGAAGGGCTCTGTGGGCATCCACTGTCAGAGCAGCAGCCTTTCTTGTCCTGATAATGCATATGCTGCTATGAAAGCGTTCTTGTTTGAGGGAAATCGTGGAGTCACACGTTCTGGCTGCGCTACAAAGAAGCCTCGGCCTAGGACCTGAGCCACTGGAGGCGGAGCTGGATGCGAGGCCTGGCAAAGGCCAGACATTTGCTTCGACTGGTAGGCAGAGGTCAATTTTATTACTGGAGGCAAAACACAGGTCTTGGCTCAAGCATTGCCGCCATGGCCTTTACACTTTCGTTGCATGGAGCGCCAGTGGCGACATCGCTTCCACCTGGGTCCTGGACGCAGAAGAGTAACAGGAAGGACCAGGAGGGTACCCGGGACTGAACGACGGATTTGCTGGACCTGGAGGGTTTGCTCACGTTACGTCAGTATATTGAGCAATTCTCGCACGGTGTAGACTAAGTTTGGGTAGGCAGCATCCAGTAGTGGGATTTGGATTGTCTTGTGCAGATTGCAATCAAGGCAGCCGTTCAGTTTTGACTGCAGCGGCCTTTGCAGCAGCAGCTGCTGCGGCTCATCCAGGAGGACACTTTCTGCGATTTATGACTTAAGCTCGTTCTTCACGAATGACAGTCCAGTGCCCTCGTGACCCTGTGCTGTCTCCTTTTCAACCCACCCCGCTTCCGAGGTTGGTGCTGGGCCTCCACGGCTTGTGGCTCCCGTGCAGCACCTCGCTCCAGACTCCGGATGCATGCGGTGGAGATTGTGGATGCCGAGATCATCAGCCACCGAGCACGAACAGTGACGGCAAGCTGCGACTAGGGCATGGTCCACAATAAGTCAATGCTTCTGGCATTTGGACATTCCTTTTGCATCCTGGTCTCAGGCGAGATGCCGGCTTCCGACGGAGATGGACAAGATGCGCCTCAAGCTGATCCTGCAGAGGCAGAGGCTGCTGCGGCCGTGATCGATGCCGTGCCTGGTGTAGCACTGATGCCAGTCTGCTCTAGCTAACTTGAGAACCTTTACTTTACGTTCGCCCGGCGCGAAACCACGAGCCAAGGTGCTGCAGCTGGTGGAAGCTTGGCTCAATCAACGCATGACCCGTGCAGGGGCAGCATGGGGAATTTGAGCAACCACAGCCGCAAACTTTGCAAATATCTGGCTTAAGGAGAAGAGCGGCGTGCCAGTTCGCAACCAAGTGATGGAATACAAGGTTCCATGCAGCAGAAAGCCAAGTGTGATCGCAACAGATTGTTTTACCATCCCGGGCATGTTTTCGAATTGAGCTGTGGCAGGTGAAATCCGTGGCTTTCCTTAAATTTGCAAGAGAATAATGACATCGACGCGTGTAGTCGTGCTCGTGCCCGTGTGGCACGGTCTCTTGTGCCCCATATAAACAACCGCGTGCCCTGGGCATGTCTGGTTGTCAGGCTGAGCCTTCGCGTTCGCTGCTTGCAACTTGCGGGATTCCGGAACTTGCGCCGGGTGGGACCAAGGCTCCTGCACGGCCCTGTCAGTCTGGCTGCTTATCCCGGTTTGCATGTTTGCGGGTCTTACTTGGCTGGGAATGAAGACTATCGGCTTCATTTGTAGTTTGGTTACGTCGTGCGGTCGTTGAGTGGCAGGCTACGCAGCTGTTGGTGGCAGGACTTCGTGCCAAGGGCGCAGATGCTGACAGAGCTGAGGTGGCAGCTGCTGTGTTGCTAGGCTGCTAGATGCACGGATGACACTGGTGCTTCCGTCTATCTGCTTTTGCAGCTAAAATCTTCCGCCCAGCGACTTTAGAAACATTCGCTGCAGTTTTGTAGTCATGTCGCAGCTGAGGCTGTGCCTCATGCTCGGTGGCTTAGACGAGGCTTCAAAGCTGAGCATGAGCTGCCAGCCAAGAGTCATGCCAGCTTCGAGCTGCCCAGATCCAGTGATGCCTTCTTGGGCTCGTAGTGAATAACTTCTTGCAGGCCCACAACCTTGTCACGCCACACTGCTGGGCCACGCCGACTACTTTCGGTGGCCCGCCTAAGCTGGGGAGCACGGTGCCATGGCAGCAGTGGTTTGACGCCTCTAGGCTGCTTATTCTTTCTGGACATTCGAGCCTAGCACCTCGATACTCCGATGCAGAGACATGAACAGCGCCCGGGATCCGTTGCAGCGATCATTTGCGATAACATTCTAAGTTTCCGTGTCGTGTCCGCCGGAGCATGGCAAAGCGAAGAGCGAGACATGGTTACGCCTGCAACCCTGCCTCCACAAATAGCGCAAATAGCGCAGAGTTTCACGTCGACTTGAGGGGGGAGTCCGTGAGGGATGGACGTGAAAAAGCACACTGCGCGCCGCAACAGGGAGCCGAGAGACCATGGCTGCAAGCTCGCACCTCTGCAGACGCAAACCGACAGAATGGAAAGCGGAAAGCGTGCGACGAAAAGTTCAGAGCAGAGCCTGGAGGCCTCCGGGCCTGCGGGGAGTGAGAACCTCTCATCGCACACGCGAAATTTTAGACAGGCCTCGGCTCTGACATTTCCCGGATATTGCCGGGTTTCAGGTCAGCTTAAGGCTTTAGTGCTGACATTACATTGGAGGTTTCCAGGCTCTTCTAAGGGTACCCGGCAGTTCGAAGAGGCCTGGATGCAAAAAGGGTTTCGGGTCTAGGGTCAGATGCTCTTCGACCCACTTGAGTCCAGTAGCAAAAAAGGGTCAGATGCTCTGAGATCTGAACAGGGCTGCTTCACGCTGTGGCTCGCTGACCTTGAGGGGGCAAGTTCAGTGTTGCGCTTCTGCCTGGCCAGCTTACCACCGCTGCTTTTAAAGCCGCAGAGTGCCCGATCGAAGCTTCAATGTGGCATTCAATGTCAAGCCGAGGCAAGTTGTTCCAACAAATTCTTAACACTCTTAACATGTTCCCGAATGTTCCCCTTACACATGTATGAAATTGAAAGATGCCGCAAAGAATGCACAAGACTCCGAATGGTGCTCATGGGGATGGCCGGCCTGACGGGGAAGCGATTCAATGATGCTTGCGATGGTGGGAGTGCCCAGAGCTGCCCGGTGACCTGCACCTTCGGCCAGCTGACGCTCATGATGCGCCCGTGGACGCGGACGACATTGCCCAGCTGATGCTCAATGATGCTCGTTTGGAGAAGCCTGGGGCCCACCCCGCAAGGTCTCCCCAAAATCGATAAAGAGACTCCTTAGCACTAGGGACCTTTACAGGGGCCCATGCAAGAAGCACGCGCAAACCCCAATGCTGACACCAGAACCGCGAAACACTACAAATGAGGTGGTTGTTCTGGTGCCCGCCCCTCCTTCCACATCTCCTTGTCATTTTCAGGCAAATGCCGCAGCAACTCCAAGGTGCCGCGGGGTGCTCTCCATCATCTTTCGGCGTACAAACAAATTCTGGACCTCCTCCAAACCGACCAGCCTACGCAGCAGGAGGAAGAGGGGCGAGAGTGCAACCCGGACCGACCCCTCCACAGCAAAAGGGGAACAAGCTCAACCAGAGGGGCACAGCACCTTGATCAAGGGGATCAGAGATACGATAGCAGCCCGACGTAGTTCCATGCTAGCCATGTGCCACGGATTGCTGGCATGGGAGAACGGCCTCCTTCTCCACCGGAATTCGACCTGCACCAGGAAACGAAGGAGGTGACGAGCCCATGGCTGCTCTTCGCACTTCTAGGTGCGTTTCCAAGCTGCTCGGTCGGCTTCCGTTTGATGGTTTGGCACCGTCGCCCCGGCGACCTCGCGCCCCTCCCCGGGCAATTCGCGATAAGAGTGGCCATGTACTCTGGACGTCGGCCTCTCCATTGCGGGGGGTGCTGGCGAAGCGGCTGAACCTGACAGTTGCAGTCCAGGTCCATCGAGTTGATTTGCAAAGGGAGGGCTGGGCACAGCGAGCCGTCGCAGGTGGGTCGGTAAGGGCTAAACTGAGCACGTCGATTTCCTTTCTGCAGACAGAAAGAGGGGCGAAACTGGTCGGACAGCCTGAACCCCCTGCAGAGTGTTGCCACCCACAAGTTCCACAAGGGTGTGCCATGCCGTGCCGGACACTGACTGCATAAAATGCATTGCTGGCCTCTCTAAACTTTCCGTCCTGCAGTGCAGCTCTTGGAACGGCCGTCCTGTAGCGTCACATGCCCACCCGTGGCCCGTCTCTCGTTTTCGCACGTTCTCACCCCGTCCCCGACCTCCGAGAGAAAAAGATGAGGGATGGGGGTGCCTGCGTTTCCGTGGACTGTTCGTGAACAGTAATGTGGCTTCTGGATCATTGTCCCTGCTCTGTCCACGTTGCAGGTGTTCCGCGAGGCTGCATATGGGCAGGTCATCGTGCACCGTATGGAAGGCATCCAGCTGCGAAAAGATGTCAGAGAAAAATGCTTTGAGTTGTTCTGCCGGGAAAATTCGTTACCGAGAATACCACGAGATGGGTAGCTTTTACTTATTAACACCTGACAAGATGTTCCTCCAAGGGGCCTTATAAAACACTTTTGCCGTGGAAGGCGAGAATCTGGGCGAATTTGGATCCGGGAATCTCAGTCGCATTGATTACACGCAACACACTTTTCGACATCACGCTGTGACAGCGGTCAGCGTGTGAGAACGGCTTGTTGATCCGCATGACCCACTGCGAGGTTCAACAACAGAAGCTTGGATTGTTTTATGCACAGATGCAGTATATGTGGCACAGCCGGGGTCTGTTCAAGATGCTGGGATTTCTTGGTACTAACACAACACCTCAGGAAATAGCTTGTCTCAATCGCCCCCTTCTCTTGGTGCCACTGTAGCATTCCGATGTCGCCCAGACATGGTTTGCAGATAGGATTTGAAGGCTTGTGACAGGGCTCGGTAGACAGAGTTTCGAGAAGCATGATTCCGCGATGCAAGCAGTATCAAGCAGCTTGATGCTTTGTTATAGGCGTGAGCAGTGTGCTATCCACGTGTTCTGTGGCCATCTCAAGACTGCGTTGTTGAGATGGATGCTGTTCTTTGCTGGACCTTTTCAGCGCTTCGAGGCAGATACTGGCTGGGCCAGGCTTTCTCCTTGGGAGCGAGCCAACACACAATCTTCGCGGAACTGCGGAAAGATGCTGAAGGCTTCGTTGGCACATGCGGGGAACTTACGCGCGGAGGCAGTAGATAAGCATCCAGCTCCGGGAAATGGACCGTGGTCGAAAACTCAGGCCATGATTCGCGCTGCCTGCTGCGGACCATGGGTCCCAAGTGGGAGCCGTCACTGTTCAACAAACTCTGCGAAGATGTGCTGCTGTTCCTCGGCCTGGGACCTTTTCGAAATCAGATCATGTGGACGGCAGCTGCGGTGATTGGCGTGTATCTTCCCTGCGTCCTTTGACATCTCGAGGACAGAGGATCCAGATACCCTGGAGTTTTGCAAGGCTGTTCAAACCAGGGAGCTTCAGCTTCTTTTCGAGCACATCATGGCGCAGCCGGATGCCTCTGCTGCAGCTTGAGGCGATGTTGCATCAGTGACATCTTGTCTTTCCATTTTTCATGCAGTAAATGCCCGATGTATTGTCGCGAAGCGAGAATGCATCTCATTAGGGCAATCCTGGCGATCTTATAGAGGGCCAGACGAAGTGGCCAGCTGCGGGAGAGATACCGCAGCCTTGACCAAGCTCTGGTTTTCATCGCATCCGGGCAAAGAGCAATTTCTTTGCCCCAAGCGGAATGTCAGCACGCACGCCACGTACTGCGCCGTGCAACGGTGTTGTCCCTCACTGCATGTGCTTTGCTGAAAACTATCTGCCGAATCGGGTTCCAGTTTTGCAAGCTTCAATGTGCTGCCTGTGTTTGCTTAGTTTTGACGAAGGCTGCAACTGTGTGGTTTGCGAGTTCCACTCCGAGATGTGTATGCAAGTTTCCTGCCACGCTCAGCCCGTCGTGCTGTCGAGCTAGAGTTGCAGCGGTTCAAGCAGTCCGTGCCCGAACAGTTTCCAGCAGTGGCAAGGGAGAGGACACGGGTTCAGCCAGAGTCACATGATGCAGACGTTGTCGAGGAATATCAAGTGCTTTGCCAGCAGGAGCATGCCCTCACCGGTCAAGGATGCACCGGTCAAGGATGGGTGTCGTTCTTGAAGTGTGGCAGTGCGAACATGAACTCCGTAGAACACGCAGCAGAACAAGGAATTTTCGCTCAAGTTTGTTCACGCTCGCTGTCCGATACTGGGACTCTTTATCTTGCCCGAGTGACTGTACACAGCATGATTTGCGCCCGAAGCCGGTGCAGGAGGTGGTTGCATCAGATCAGTGGCTCGGTATGTCAGTCGGAAGTGTTTTTCCTGGCGATCGGGTGCCTGCGCGCCGTCTCAGGTTTAACCCGGTGCAAGGCATCGAACTAAACTGCGATGTTGAAGTTGGTGAGACGACGAAAGTACAAGCTGCCGAGGACGATGTCCAACAACTGGCATGACAAGCTTTTTGAACAGTGACTGGCGAGACGGTTGCCCTCGGCAGGAGATCGTGCCGAAGCGGTGCGATTTGTGCTGCCGCACGCGCCGAAGGAAAAGATTCTGCATGCTAACCGGGGCTTGCAGCTGCTTCACGCTCGCTATCCTGGTTTGTGCTGGTGTCTCGCTAGCACCACGAGGGCCCTGAGGGCCCCCGACAACACGAGCCATGATGCAGCTGAGGTTTGTTTTGGCCCCGGGATCCCAGCTGGAAGCTGACGAAGCTTGAAGCACCTTGACGACACTCTGGAGCCAGCTTCCCCTGCTCTCCCTTGCTGTCTGAGGTGACGACTCCAGATGCCCTGATGTACTTTGTCATGGCCTTTGCGGCCGGGCCGAGCGCTCTCGATGAAAACGCTACCTATCCCGATGTGAAGTTTTACGCTGAGGCAGAAGCTGCTAGACCCAAGAAAGCTTGAGGGCTTGGAATAAGGAAAGCACGCTGGAATCTGCAAAGTTCGCCAGATCTTCCCGCCTGACCGTTCCCAGGTGTTTAATCCCAATCTGCTTGGCGGCGAAGCAGACACAGGCGGGACGATGCGGGGGCCGCAACATGTGCTTTCTTCGAGGGTTGCTTTTCAGGCGCAGTGAAGGTCCTGTACCACGGGCAAGAGCTGGGACTTGCTATCAGCCACCCGTCATCGGCAACTTGGCTAGATTTCCAGGTTGTGTGGCATTTCTGCGACGGTCATCAGCATCTGCTAGTGAAGGTGAAGCCCCAATCCAATGTCACAGTCGGGGCGGATGTCACGATCAAACTGGATGCGGCAATGTTTCAGGAGCATATTGTCAAGTGCACCAAGTTGCACTGTCGGTTCATGTGCTCAGCTATATTTTTCCAGCATTTTGGATTGAACATGTTTGTCACGACACAGAGACGTTGCAGGCCCTCACCACGGATGTCATTTCGCACGATCTCAAGCTGACGATCCAGCTGGAGGGTGCAGCTGACGTCACGGGACCCTTAGGCAGGTTTGGGACGGTGACGGTGTACATAGAATTGCCCCCAATTCTTCGACCAAGGGCTTATCCAAGCTGAGCTGTTGACCAACAGCATTTGTTGTCTTGCCGTGTTGGTGATCCTTTCTCAGGCATCCGCATCAAGTGCCGGCTTGAGTGTGATGTCTTCTGCAATACGGGCGAGCTTTTCAATCCCGAGTCGAGGTGTCGCGGCTTGAACATACACAGTTTGGTGCAGCCAGGGAGACAGCCACTCAAAGCTGAGAGTCGGCAAGTTTCTCTGTGCCCATCTATAACGTAGAAGCCAGCCCTCCGCGCAAACTTCCAGGCATGCAGTTGTGGAAGGCCAGTCATGCAGGCAGCTTGGTATTCAAAGCCTCTCCAGCGAGCCGTAATCTGCTTTGCGAAAGTTCCCGTCGTGGTCGTGTCAAGAGAACCCACCCAGTGACATTTTGGTGGGGAGGGCCGTTCAGCTCTGATGGCTGCAAAGACATGGGACCCCCAAGCCAGCAAGCTTGGAAAAGCCAGGCCCCCGATATGGCAAGACAAGTTTCCAATGCACGCATGCAATTTCAGACAAAATGGTATCACGGCATGTCGGACCAGCTTAATAGAAACCAGAGTGGATTTAAGGCTTAATCATCACTTCGATCTGCTTACACAGGCGTGTTTGTGTGCAAATAGTATATGTCTTCCTGGTGTATGACTTGCACATACTGTACGAAATGGGACTGCGGGGTCTTTGGTTCATCTTCGCTGCTTGTGTTATGCACGTTATGGAACCCGTTTGTCATCGGCAACATTCAGCCTAGACAAGACAAGTAATGTTGGGGTTTAAAAATGTAATAATATACCCCCCCCCTCGACGTGGTTTTGTCCAGGGTCTCTTGGGGCGGTCGCTGGGTTGGGGGGTTGCAATAATTGCCTCTGGCCGGGTCCGGGGTCTGTAGTAATAGTGGCAATGGTAATAGTAGTAATAGGAATAGTAGTCTGGCTTCCTGCCAAAGCCTGCAGCTCTCGAAAACAAAAGCCTCCGGCTTCAGGCCCTTTAGCTCTTGCTTTCTAAAAAGCCCTCTCAAGAAAGCCTTGCTTCCAGGACCCACCGCCCCTCGGGAGTATTTTGCTGTCACCCATTCATTATTGAGATCAGCAGGGCTCGTGAGGGATACCCTTGCTGGCTTTGTGAAATGGATCCGTTTACAACGGATTCGAATCAGGCAGAGGCCTCAAGAATAGCTGCTGCAGTTCCTGGAATCCAGGGAATAACAAAGGGATCTGCTAGGAACTGCACTTTGCCAGCTGGGTTAGGGCCCAGACTTCTCTTTTCCTTTTTTCTAAAACAATAAGCTTTTCCTCAAGCCAGGCCCTAATTTTTTTTGGGATTTCGGGCCAGGAATATTTTAACTGTCACCCCTTTATAAATACACCGGAATCCCAACATCAATTGTTTGGCCAGATCTGGGCGGATCTGGGTGCGCAATCTAAAGTAGTCTTCCGCCGGGAAAGTCTGGGCCGGGGAATATTTTAATTGTCACCTTGTTTATTCGTGTAAGCCGGGGTTAGCAGGCAAATTTCTGTCCAGCACTTTTAGCCGGGAGCTCGCATCTTCACTCAGATGTGAATGCAGACTTGGCTTTCAACAGTTTTGCTGATGGCTCCACCAAAGTTGTAGTGCTTACTGGCACGATTTCGCCTTGAGACTCCCGTGATGATTCGGTGTTGTCATACGGTGCGGATACGGGGCTAATCTTGGGGTTGGATGAGTTTGAAGCGACGCAGCTGACGAAGAAGCCAAACCCCAGGGCGAGGATCCAGCTGAGCTTCCGACTGTCCTGCCTTGTATGCCTTGTGCGTCACAGGACCAACCGAAAGCTTGTCAAGCCTTTCAGACACAGTAAAGACACCCTTGCCGCACTGGACCGGGCTTTCCCAACTCTTCACACCCGTACTATTGCATACATCAGTTCCGCATGTCTGCCAAGGTATCGTTACCTCTGAGAACTCGCGGAGTAGTCGGAGGCAGCTCGACAACAGAAGCTGTGTTCTACAGCGTGTTGCTTACACGCACTTGGCGCGGGCTTCACGCAGTTCACTCCGTTCCACCTGTTACAAGGCAATCGGAGCGGAGTCGCTTCTAGAAATTTTTGGAGCATCCTGTTGAAGGGTCAGGCAGGGCAGGCAGGATGAGCTTTATGCCGAGCCTACTTGCGCCAAGTAGCAATTCCCACAGGGTGCCAATCTGACATCTCCAGAGTATGAGTAACGACTGTGTCCAACATCGGAAGTTGGAGAAATTGAGAACTGCTGCTTGTTTAGGCCTGCATGGGATTCTGCACGCTCTTCGCGGCCAAGCCGCGAAGACGATGCTCAGCACCAGGTGGCTGCCCTCAGGGGCTCCAGGATGAAGAATTCTCATCCGGCGAGCCGTTGTGAGGCATGCAGAGCTTTCAAACTATCAGGTTGAAAGCAGTTGCTCTATGTTGCTCTGCACTTGCAGTACGCTGTGCGACTTTCATCCGATCATGATGCATCACGGGCATCTGGCACTTTGCGGTTTGCAAAGATGAGGGAACTCTGCACTCCCGACCTTGAAGTTTGGTTTGATGCATCGGGCCGGGAATCTTGAAATTTGCCGAAACAGTCTTGCGCATTCCGCTCTTCGCTCGAGGCTGGTGTTACCACTAGCCGCAGCAAGCCAGCCGAATGCGAATGTTTTGTGATGTCTTGTGCCTGGTTCCGTGACGGGCCACGGCGCAGGGGGCCTGGAAAGCACAATGCTCATGGTCCTACAGCAGTGCCGTCGAAGGCGAGCTGGCGGGCTCCAATACACGTCGGAGATTGCCTGGACATCTTTTGTTTGTCAAACAAGTACTATTGGAGCGTACGCCACCGCTGCTGCTCTACCCGTCGGATTGTGACACTCGAGATCCGCAGCATAAAGTGCAAAGGCACTTTAAAGGGTCTTGAGTCTTGTTGGCAAGGGTTAAGAATACGACGATGTCATGGCATCTGCATTGCTAGAGTTTGTGTCCGGGCAGTTGCAAGCAGATGGAATTGAGTGCCAGCTAGACAGGGCTTCCGACAGTGTGGGGCCCTGCAGAGAAAATGCAGCCATGGAATTGGACAAAAGATCAGCCTCATGCCACATGTTTGTGTCGCAGGCTCATGTCATCGAAGTTGCACAGAGAGTTCTTATGCAGTGCTTGTAATCGTAGAAATTGCTAGGCCTTGGCTGACGCCTTGCCAGGATTCAGGCCAAGGCCTGGAAAAGATGATCTGGAGGCGTCACGTTCAAAGAGTGTGAAATGGCCACACATGCCACAGAGCCACAGATGCAGCGAAAGGGCGGTCCAAAAGATTGAAATTGACATCAGCTCTTTCAATTCACTTGTTGGTCGTTCAGCAAGCAGCAGGGCATACGGTCACTTCTCAGGCCATCTTGTCTCACGGTGTTCATGTCCCCTTCTGACAACTTCTGTGTTGGGATATGCGTAACTCAAACCTGCAAGGTTCAGTGATGTTTGCATAGTTCGGGGAAAAGAGCTTGCCACCAACATAGCTCAATCTCTTAAGCTTGGGTTCAGGGATGGTTGTGGATCCAGCTTTCGTTTGCAGTTGTGGTGTTTCTCCCAGGCCTTGTGTTCTCGAGCAGGCGAGGGAATGCGGAACACCTGAAAAAGAAACTATGACGTGACGGCCTGCCAGCAGTAGCCCTTCCGCGGAGTTATCCTTCTCCTGCACTCTTCCGAGCAAGGAAGATGTGAATCGTCTGTCGCCAATCCCGAAAATGCCGAAAGATCAGTCTCGGTCCGGACAGTCACCCACACTATCACCTGCCGACGCTGATGTAGAATGTCAGGCCTCGATATCTTTTTGGCTCCAGCGCCGACAAGGCTTCGTGTAGAAAGTTGCGACATCATGCATGGCTCGTGCTGCTGCAACCAAGGACATTCGCTTGAAAACTGCATTCAGTCAGTAATGACAGGCGAGCCATTCGGCGCTGCGGCATGTCTAAGCAAGGCATGTATGCATGTGAGACTGACACAAAGCCAAGTTGGATTCGGAACTTTTGCCGCAAGTGGCTGCTCCTGATCCCGAGGATGCTTTGAGCAGGTGACCTGCGCTTGGTTGGCACTCGTTTCTACTGTTGGTGGCCGTGTAACACAGAATCAGGTCAGTGTGCCACAAGCTTGCGAGAAGTCAGCTGTGCGAATGCGAAGAAACCAGAGCTTATTGCGCTTGCTCAGCAACAGTTTCTTTTGCAATTTGGCCCGGTGACAGTTCAGGAAGTGGAAAAGTTGTTGGAGTTCTGCACCAACGAATCAGAATCAGATGATGCAGCGTCGCGAGATGAGGCAACATATGGCTTGTGTTCAAGAGTGTTATTAGGCCAGGCGGTTGGGTTGGGGACACCGGTGACACTTAGATTCTTTTGGTTACGTGCCGTGGCGCACCCAATTCAATAGCAAGAAGCAGTTGCCTTCAGTTCTTGCCCGTGCGCTTTGAAAACCCTGCCAGGATGGTGCTGTTGTCCATTACCTTCCGGGGCAGGAGGCATCAGTGTAGCAAGACAGTCGGGCTTGTCGTGGTGGTTGTGGTTGTGGTTGTGGTTGTGGTTGTGGTTGCTGTTGCTTTTGCTTTTGCTGTTGCTGTTGCTGTTGCTGTTGTTGTTGTTGTGGCAGTTTTTGTTTGTGCATTGTCGGTACAGACAAGAACAGCAGCCCGTAACTTATGTTAATTACAAGTATTTGGGAATGCTTCCGGCGATCGCAAAGGGTGCCTGTAGCTGTAGAGTTTTGGGGAATGCAGATCATAGTTTACACAGCATCTGCCCCAGGATAGAAATGCTGCGTAGGCTGGGTGGTTGTTGTAGAGGGTGGCGGGGTCAAAACGCTCCAGTTTTTGCCGCGGCAGGTACAGGCAAACGCCCCATCGAAATCAGGACTTTGTCTCTACCTGCTGGTAGAGACAAAAAGTGGGGCCCCGTCTGTTGTTTTGACCACCCCCCTTTACAACAACCGCCCACACTACACCACGTTTCCATCCGGGTATGGGAATCTGCGAAGAGTAGAAGAGGCCTCATGAGTTTTTACTGTCTTGTTCAGAGAGGGCGACCGGCCCTTTTTACCAGGCCTGGCGGATGACCAGCTGAT